CTGCCATGGGTTCATGAGGAAGCCATAGATGACAATTGGATGTCTGGAGTTGAAAATTAGGAGTTAGGGTTCAAGAAATATGCAAGAAGTTGTAATAATTAAGGTTGGTTAGACGAAGAAGATATGTGACGATTGAATTAGAGGAGAAGACGATAAATAAAGCTCAAATTTATGAGAAAAAATAGTTGTTAGAAACTATAGGATCGAATGAGAAAGAAACTAAAATTGCTGGATTAAGGATTTTAATTATGGATTCCAAAAATTAAAATCCTTAAAAGAGCCATTTTAAAACTTGGTCTAAAAATCCAGAAATTGAACCTAATTTGAAAACCTGATTTGAAGAGAGAAGAGAACGTAAACTTCTTGTTTTAAGTTTTTGTTTTGGTAATATATGTGGTGTCAATTTACTAGCCTTCAAATGATTTTTTAATGAGGTGCCAAACTTAAGAGTAAAAGTCAAGCAAATCCCAAGGGAGAGTGAAAGGGTGGGCGGAGCATGTAATAACCCGAACTTAAACTAATTTTTAATTATTAATTTATTCAAGTAAAAGACAATTTTATCCCGGAATATTTTAATGGTTTAAAAGTTGACTTTTGATTGGGGAAGGAATTTGGGAATTTCAGTGATACTGTTGTGTAGAACACGTCGAAATGAGTCCGTAGACACATAGTGGGCTCAAATCGGAGTTGTAACGAAGAAGTTACGATCAAAAGAAGTTCAGTGGCATAATCGTAAATTTTTCGAAGTTCAGATTTTTAAACCCAGATTTTTTCTCTCTCGCGAATTTGACGAACAGCCATTTTTCAAACACTGATTTCTCTTCCGTCTAGCCACCAAATCTGGTGCCACAACTTTCTAACTCTTCGTCTCTCTCTCCTCTTTCCATTAATATCAATTTCTAGGCCCAAATTCAAGCAAGAAAACCGGAAAAACGATCGAAAAAAGAGCCAAAAATCTGCCAAAATATTCTTCAGAATTTTCAGCCATCTCCGGCCAACTCCGGCCACTACCAGCCACCCAATCACTTCCAAAACACTTCCCTACCTTCCCTTTGTATATTTCCTCGAAGACCCGACTTGATTTCATCCCAAAACCGTCGAATTCAAACCTAGAATTTCTAGGTTTTTCAAGAGATAGAAAGCTTCGTTCGAGGGCTTTAAAGGTGGAATTGATCGTCGAGCCAAGATATAAAGTTACTCCCCTTAATGTTCTGATCATGTAGGTATTAGTCTTGGCCGGCGGTTTGGAGTTTTTCGATCGCCGGAAAATTACTCAATACACCCGCTGGCGGTGGCGGCTTGTCGGCGGGGTGTCAAGGTTGGGTTTTTATCCTAAAAATATTCCCCATGTCGTTCTGAGCACAACGGTATGCTCGGATATGAATTTGGTGACCGTTTGACCATCGATCGGATATCACATATTAAGCATTATCCAGGTTCAACATGTTGATCTAGGCATTCCTAGGAGGGTTAGGAATTCGCGGATCGTGAATCGGAGCCCGGATGTTCTGATTCAATAACTTAAAGTTTGTGGTAAACAATAATCGTCCGATCATACAATCCGACCGTTCGATTTGAACCAAACTTGCAGGACATGCTTAGTAAACCTTGTGGAACTCATTGGAATCTTCGGATCGGAAATCGGAGGTCGTGGGCCCGGCGGGCCAGATTGACCATGTTTTGATAGTTTGACCCCTCGGTTGACCGAGTCTTCTGAGGTAACTTCACCCTTTGGGAAGTACTAGAACTACCTTATTAACGAGTCTTAACTGTTAGTGGAGCTATGTTGATTTTGGAGGGATTTTGGGATTTGTCTTTATGTTATCATATGGAACTTTTTGTATAGTGGGTTTAGATTGGAAATTGATTCGATATGAGATTTTCTTTAAAGGTTATTACTTTTCATTGATTAAATTACCATGAAACCTATTATGGGTTTACATGAATATGGAATGAAAATATATAGGTATATATATATATATAGTGTATATATATATTATATATATAGATTGCTAATTGTGAATATTTCTATTGCTTTGATATTTCTGATTATATTATAGTATTTTATGGTATTCCTAAACGTTATTTCCGATATTTGAAGATTATGCATTATTGGAAATGGGGAAATCTCTAGGGGTTGTGGTTATTTAATTATTTATCTATTTATTATTTATTTAATTATCCATTTAAATTAAGATTATATATATATATATATATATATACTCAGTAGGGGAAAATGCGGAATTATGGACACTAGATCTCAACAGTATGTAATGTAAATTTTAAGGTAGCTGAGAACTGATTTCTAGAAAGTTGAGAAAAGAATTTAAGTATGATTTGTGAAATAAGACGAATTTCAAGACAAGTTCAGAATATGGTTTTCAAACCCACGGCCCCCCCCCCCCCTCCCCCAGTTGCCTTTGAAATAGATTGGTCATTTATGACATTGCCCCATGAGTTTCGTCGACGCCTGAACCGTGTGGTGTGAGGATGTGTGTTCTCGGGCTGACTACAGGTCCCCCGAGTTCTGCGAGGATTACGGCTCAGAATGACTTTGTGTCATCGAGGCCTTCGAGGAATGCACCTCGAGATGACTTTATGTCACTGAGGCCTGCAAGGAATGCAGCTCGAGATGACTTTGTGTTCCCGAGACCTGCAAGGATGTGTCATATTATGTGACACAAGGAATTGACGGTATATTGTAGGAATTAAATAGAAAATCATGGAATTGATGGAATCTTATCGGAATTGACGGCATATTAAAGGAATTGACGGAATATAAATGGGGGTACACCTAGGTGGAGAGTAAATGAGATGTTTAAACTAAAATTTGTGATTTTATCTTGATATTTATTGGTAAAAGCTTTAATACATATTTTCCAATGTGTGAGACAAAGGTTGAGGATTTCTAAGTTTTCAAGAGTTCATACAATTCATAATTATTTTCTTGAGTAATGAATTTGTTGTTACATGAGAAAGAGGGAAGCAGGTTTTTATTTAAATTGTTGGTAATGACATTTAGGTTTCATGGGTTCAGTGCTATTTTAATAATTTTCTCGGTTGCTACTTTTCTGTAATAAGTAATTAAATATATATTTGTATAAGCTTGTATGGGATGAGTGGAACATTGTGCTGAAATCAACAACCCATGCTTGAATTTCAATAGTTTGATTTGCAAATTTCATTGAAAAATAACAATTGATGAATATATACAAGTGCAAATGTGAAAAGTGAAAGAACTACGTGTGGCTTGATCCCTGGTTAAGGGTATGTAGGCAACCTAGAGATTACTAGGTGCAGTCGTGATACCAAATGATTGAAAAGTTGTTCAGTTAAATTATTTCGAATCTATTAACGTATTCGTGATGTTTCAAAAGCTTGGATCCGTTTCTATTGGCAGAACATTTTATTTGTTTTCAAGAGGCCTGAGGCCATAAAGATTTGATGTTGGTTGCTTGAATTATATATTGTGCATGCTGAGCGATTGTGGATATTTAAATTGCTTGTTGTACATGTGAAAAATTTGGGAAACGAGCAATTTACATGGGAGACTCTGCCGAATTTTTGGCAGAGGTCAAACTCTAAAGAAACTTTATGTTTCATTAGAAGAGCAATTTGGACAGGTATGCTCGGCACCTACCAGGTTTTGGACATGCACAAGGCTCGGTTCAGATTCCAAAGTGGAATTTGGGTCAGGTCCTGTCAAAGCAATTCTTATTGCCGGCTGGGAAAGAGATTCTAGTTAAGGCATTTGCAATGGCAATGCCAAATTATATGATGTATTTCAATAAGTTACTGTTGATGCTCAAAATGGAGTTCAACTTGGATAGATGTGGAGTGGTGGATGGTGTGTTAAGACGTGGGCCTTCAGTATGTGTATATGCCTTTGGGAGGCAAAGCAGGAGGCTACCTTCGGCAGTTAGTGACATTCAACATAAGCAAAGTAAATAAGCATGCAAAAGACAAGGTATACGTGGTTCACCCGAATGATGGGCTACGTCCACGGAGAAGGATGTTCTCATTATGATAATATTTGTTTACATTTGTACAAGGGGATTAGACCAAAAGATAAAGGGAAAAAGGCTTAATGCCTAAGGTACAAAGCCCAAGAGTCCGAGGCTAAAGACCAAAGAACCTTTTCTAAGCAGAGAGTGGTCTTCTTTTATAGGTGAGGGGGAGTCTCCGCCTCTTGGAGTCTTCCAATGTGGGACTCCCTACCTTGCTTAGAGTTGTGACTTGTGGTAAGACTTCTTTGGCTAAGGTGATGACCTCTTAAAGCATGGCACGTGGCTGATCTTGCTTAACTAGTTGCTCGGTTAGTCACGGTATCAATAGTTACCAATAGGGATTTGTAAAGAGATAAAATGGAGTCTTGGTTAGTTTTGGTGGGAAGGGCAGATGTTGAAGAAGGGCAATCCTTGGGCTTCTGGGGATCAAATTATTCAAACTTGCCACAGAGGTGACTTTGGTTTTAAGGATTTGATCTGCTTTAATTTAACCACTTTAGCTAGAACTGGTCGGAGGTTAATACAGAATCTAACGTCACTTTAATGTCGAGTGTTACGGGAAAAATACTTCCCCTGTGGATCTTTTCTTGTTGCAAAGGAGGGAAGGGTGTGTTCTTTGGGATGGAAACGTGTACTAAAAGGTAGGCATGTGCTCGGCCCTGGGGTGGTGCAAGTGGCGCCACCGCACAGGGCCCCCGAAAAAAAATTTGTTTATATTATATATATATAATATTTATAAGAATTGTATATATACTATAGGCTTTTTTCTTCCGACAGGTATTATGGGTCTGGGCTGCCATAAAGAGCAAAATGGAAGAAATTGCCTATTGAGCTTGAGTTTGAAAATCAAGCCCCAAAAGCGCTTCAAAAGAGCAGTAGAGCCTTAGGAAGCGTTCTGGTTACCTTCACTAACGGAAATAATGGCTGCTTACAGATGATTTCTTGATGCTTACAGATAAATTTCTAGCTTGACATGAGAGACTTGTGGCATGGAAGACTCGAATTCCAAAATGCACCCGGTCCGGCTCAACTGCAAAACTCAGTCGCTACTGGCTGGGGGCGCAAAACAGAAAGTTGTGAGTGGACAAAAAACCAAGTTTAGTTCAAGTGAAAACAAAATAATGTAACCCCCACATTTTATATGCAAGAAAACCATAAGTATAACAAAACAACATAAACAACACATGCATACACATTAACACCTTTATACCGGATCTCAAATCCGTAATCCGTGAATAATACTTCACGAAGCCCACCACTCAA